TGCGGTCAATGCCTTGACCTTCTGGCTATAGTCGTTGACCTTCTTCTTCGTCAACCCTTTTCTTTTTTTCCTTCGTATTATTTCTTGCCCCACCTTGGCTATGGCTTTCCTCTCTCTTTCCTTCGTCTCTCCTTCCTCTTTTCTTCTCTCTTTCTCGTCTTCTCCATGGTCACTTCCGCTTGCACCGTGGTCGTCTTCTTTTTCCACTCCGAGCTTGGCGGCGCCCTACTTACGCCTCCAACTTCTCTCTCTCTCTCTCTCTCTCTCTCTCTCTCTCTCTCTCTCTCTCTCTCTCTCTCTCTCTCTCTNCTCTCTCTCTCTCTCTCTCTCTCTCTCTCTCTCTCTCTCTCTCTCTCTCTCTCTCTCTCTCTCTCTCTCTCTCTCTCTCTCTCTCTCATCTTTTCTTCACGATTTTCAAAGTGCGCGTGAACAGTCTTCTTCGTCGTTGTCAATGGCAGTCTTCAACACGTGCGCGCGATCTTTAACGACGGGCGTGAGCAGCAACGAACATACGGCGATCAGCGCGCAAGCAAACAACGCACCGCGCGCAAACGCAGGCAACGCAGCGGGTGCGTGATTAGCTATGGCGCGCGTATATAGCACCGAGCGTGCACGGGCAACAACGGACGCGCAAAGAACAGCGGGCACACACAAACAGCAGCAGCGCACAGGCACGCATGGATAGCAGCGGGGCGCGCTCAGATGGCAGCGGGCGCGCACAGTTAACAGCGGCGTTCGAGTAGCAGCAGACCGCAGCGGCGATCTACCGCGACGGTGATGGCGACGGCAACGGCGATGGCGATCGGCTATAGTGACGACAACAACAATGGCGACGGGACAACAGGCACCAGCTCTGGTACAAGTGAAATCAGACTTGCTCTCTTCATTACCAGCATGCATGCAAACAGATGACGAACATAATTTGGCACAGTGCATCCACACAAAGCTCAGAGATAAGAACGTGGCCAGGAACACAGTTCAGATTCAACTTGTCTTGAGTGGCTATGGCACCCAGCGCCTGACAAAAATTCCCACCCGGTCAACTGTATCCACCAGCAACTTGTTCACATGCACACGCACACACTTCGACGCTAGCTACGATCGCCCTGAATGCCCCACACACACACACTACTCATACACCCTACTCTATCCTACATGGCAGCTAGGGCTGCCGTCTTCTTCCTGTACCAAGCTAGCGGCTATAGCCGCTTCTTCAACCTCTTAGCCCGCTTCCTTGGGCACCTGCAGACCTCCAATACACAAGCCACTCGAGCAGAATGAATGAATGACTTGACACACCCTCGTTATTTATACTTGTTTCGTCGGTGGTTTGGCCCCGTGGCCCGGGCCCGGAATGCACACAGTCCCACTTGGTACTTGCTGACTGTACTAGGTTAGGACCGAGACTGGGTACTGTTTGACTAGACTAGGATAGAACTGGGACTGCCTTCTGCTGACGAGGCTACAAGTATCCTCTGCTGACTCGCCTGCGGACTGACTCCTAAATCCTACGAAGAGCCAGTTCGCATTCATCTAGAAGGTCCTAGGCTAGGTAGGACTTAGACCTTCCGGAACTGTAGCAGCTGCGACTTTGACCCTACAACTACTAAAACTAAAGTCCACAGTTTGAGTCGACGCAACCAGACTCTGTACAGCAGTCGAACATACGACTTTCAGGGACAGATCACAGGTTCAAACATGCAGGGGTCTACGGGTATTGTACATGGGAAAGGGGACAGGTCATGGGATCGAGTCCTGGGAACTGTATCTGTTACGTGACTTCGGTGTAAACCATTTCACCCACACACACACACGCTCACCTACCCACACACACACACTCTTAAACACACGCGAACACACACACACATGCACCCGCAAACATACACAAACACACATGCGCACTCACCCGCACACACGCACACATACACGTGTGCGCACACGCGTGAGTGTGTGTGTGGGCACAAACACACACACACACAATCATGCACACACACGCGGGTGGGGGGAGTTTGGGGGGGGGAGGATTTTTGTTTTTTTCAGAGTTTAAACGCGCAGGGGTCATGCGCCAGTTGTCCTAACACCCGCACTACCCTTGCGTTAAACCTAAAACAGTGGGAGACCCCCATTTTCGTGTTTAATAGGAATTCAATGGGGGTCCAGGGGATTTAACAGGTTGCAACCGCCGTTAAAATGGAACCCCCCCACACACCGCCCCGTTGAAAAGTCACACAAGAGACCAGCTTCTACATTCCCTACTGGCATACATGCTCATCCAGAAGAGGCACAATATACTGGAAATGTGAGCTGTCTGTGTGAGGGTGTGGTGACTCTGTGTTGTGTGTGTGTATGTTGTCATGTTCGCTGAACTCCACAAGAAAAAAAAAGTGTGACTGTGTTTTGGCTGGAGGTGAAAGGCGCAAAGCTGAGTATGAGTGTACTGACAAGTACTTGGATGGCTGACAACGTACTGGTCGCGAGAAAGAACAACAGTCAAAATACCATTTTATCCTGCCGGGAATAGAGTTCACAGTCATGGTCGCGAGAAAGAAGAAGAGTCAAAATACCGTTTTATCCTGCCGGGAATAGAGTTCACAGTCATTATTCCTGTGCATGTACTGAAAGTTGCCCCAAATTTCAGGTCTAAGGACTGCGTGTTGTATTAGGGGCAAGACACAACCCGGCAATATAAACATCAATCACCTGGGACTACTGAAACAGACCCTGTTTATCTAGCCAGGTAACTGGATCTGATCCCACCACACTGTGAATAATACACTGAAGTGCCTACAACAGTTGTCCACTTGCAGAAATCCTGACTGTGCTCTGGAAGCAGCTACTGGAAAAGTGACTGGCAACCACCCAGAGGGAACGTTCCATTTGGACAGCTGTCACGGTATCAACTGGAGGAAACATTCCACTTCAGGTCGTCAAAGATTTCCGTGGTTTGGCTGAGAAGATTCAGGACAGGACAATTCTGGGGTGCATACTGTTCAATCATCCAAATCTGCACCTAAACCGTTGATAAAATGTCAATCCGGTAAATGCAAGCAATCAAAAATGTTCTGCCAAATCCGGGAGAAAATGTCATTAGAATATACATCCATTACCTCTCTCGCCTCACATCCCAATCCACTAGCCCATTCCATCATACACTTTCCCTGCTTCACTCCAACCAGTGACCTACTCAGAGAAAGTAACAGATACCTCTGATGGCCGATGCATTCAGTACGTAGTACTGGGCAGTTGTTTTACGTATGCCATGTATTGCACCGACCACACTGTTATGTTAATAGCACTGCCTACTGTAATACGACTTCCAGGTCATTTTCATTGCTTTCGGACTGCTCTCCTTTTGACAGAAACCGCCTCTGTAGACCCGACAGACTTGCCTATGGTGTTGGAGAATCCATATCCCAACGTTGCTTACTGTGCTTCCCCCTGATTTTTTTCCCTTACCTTCATTTTCCGAACTTCATTTCTGCTGCCTCACTGACCATCGCCTCCTTGGCCAATGGTGCTACTTAATTGGATGTTCAATCAGCCAACTCTTACCAGCATTCGGAGGTGTGCTTCTCTTTTTTTTTCACAGGACCAATATACATCACCTGGCCTGTGGTTGTGACCTACGAACAAGCCAATATTATTATAGCTATATATACATCGTCAAACAGCATCGTCGTAAAACCGCAAACCTCACCAGCAATACCGCTACACACTTCAGGAAACAGTTTGCGATGCGAACCAATCCTGCAACAACATTCCACAATCAGATAAACCCCCATCACCACCTCCGCCACCCTCAATACTACACCAAGACCTCTCCCTCCCACTCTTGATAGCATACATCGGGCATTACTCAAATCGTCAGGAAAGAAAGCTTGGGCATACCAAACAGGTACTCACAGGGATATGTTTATCCTTCCAGTGAGAACCATTATACTCTTATCTGCCTGAGAGATGTCCATCCTCAGGGAACAACTCACTCGGCCGCAGTTTTACCGGCAACAACCCTAACAGCATGCGTTCCCCCTGACCAAGCACAATCCCACCCCCCTTGTCCTCCCCCTTCTCCCTTTCCCACGTCAGTGGAGCACAAGATATCCAAACAGTGTGCTGGGACTGGTTCTCAAACAGAAAAAGAGAGCATAGTACCACTGGTATGTCCCTCGATGTACCTCAACATGATTTTGGCCAGATTCACTCAGAAGAGTCCTGGTGAGAGAATCCCCTTCGAGAGAATGCTGACTCAGTCCATCACACGACGTCGACATGTTGCCATTTTCCTCGTAGGTCCCACCTCCTCACAGGACTGCTACTGAGGCATATAAATTATTTCCCCTGTCAAAATTGATGCCCGCGCATGTCTTTAGCAAAGCATTGTAGTAAAATGCCTTCTCTGAAATGCTGACTCAAAATGTTCCCCACTCTTCTGCCACCTGTCCCTATCATTTCAAATATAACTTCGTTTTCGTTGTTCAACAAAGGACAACTTGACCTTGCACAACAGGAACCAATAGACAAACAGGGGCTAAGCGGCAATGCCGCCAGCACATCAATCGGACAGCACAGAACCTTATCAGCTCTGATGCGCCCGGTGAGCAAAAGCCAGTTTTGGTTGTGGTCTTGTCACAACATGTATAGACACAAAGTGGGAACGAAATAAAATGCTAAATTCCATCAGGCCAGCAGGCGACAGCAAGCAATACTCGTTTCAAATAGTTCCAAGATCAGTCCTGGATTTGGAATGGGGATGAAGTTGGGATAAGGCAAAGGGGAAAAGGATGCTGCACTGCAGAGATACACACAGCCAGACGACCAATACAGCGACCACCGTTCCTCGACACATTAGGATGCAATGAACCATGTGCTTCACAGATTTGTGTCTTACGAGCTGATTATTAATTATGAAGGACTACAGATCGGACCGTTAATCGTCACCATGTTCAATTCCACACAAGTGCACGTGGGGCGGAGAAATTCATCCCACTAAATGCTTTACCTACCATAATGTTCCTTCATTGCCATATACTGCATGTCCAAAACATCAAAGCATCTTCTGAAACCATTTCAACAAGCAGTCCAGCTCCTCTAAGGGCTGTGGCAGTCTAAACTGGGGTCTAAACCATTTCAACAAGCAAGCATGCATACAAACAGTGGGGAGAATCTGTCCAGCTACTCTAAGGGGCTCCTTCGGAAATAAACTGAGCTGACACCAGTCGACCACTAACAAACTTGGCCCGACCATGAAGATTTGGGACAACGAACTGTCTACTGGAGGGCGGCAAGCTCTACGTACTCAACTCGAAAAAGCAACCTATGCATAACCTGTTGCCACGGAGCAGAGGTCCTTGCCTGAGGCAGTGGGCAGTGCTAACTGGGTCCACAAGTTGACCACGAGCATGGATCCTCTTCGGGGGGGAGGGGGGCATATATTTACCTGACCAAGAAGAAAATCGCAGGACAGTGGACGAGCAGTTGCTGCAATGCCCATGAACAGAGGTCTGAAAAAAAAGGCGGGATGACTGAGCAATGTGACCAAATACAGGGCAATGTGACGGACGGCAGGGAGAAGATGCTCCCAGAGTACTCAAAAGGCGGATCGATAAGATCAGAGCAAGGGTTTTGAGGGGCATGAAAGGCAAATCCAGCAGACGTGATCAGATAAAGAAGACCGTACTCAGTGAAGACGTACACAAACCTCAAAGATGGCCCACTCATATCAGCCTATCCTTCCACCACATGCCAAACCAGCAACAAGTGATAAAGCCATCCATCAGTTCCGTCTGTGCAAGGCCCTTGGCAAGAGCAGATTTCCATAACAGCTTCCAGACGGATGGTGCCTCAACCAGCTATGCATAAAGAACATGCTCCGGTGATCGACTACATAGCAAAAGATTGCCTGCAGCCAATCAACAGGTATCCCACTGGCTTTACGCAATACACCTACATGAGACGTCGGCACATCCACTTCGGACAGTATGAATTACCCTTGACCTGTTCCCGTACTTCAGGCACTGTAGTTCTTCATTTCATTAACAAGCAAGCTCCTCGACCATTACGCATCCATGACTCCTGTAGTGACATCTTCATCGTCAAACCCGAAAGGCCACAGGAGAGCGGGTAGGCAGCAAATTACACGTAGGCAGCAAAGTTGAGCAATCCAGCACGAAAAGCAATCACCCCATCACTATTTCTGCCAACAGGGCACTTCAACAACCCGACAAGTGGCAACAGTCCTCACGAGAGCGAGGAGGGTGTCATGTTCATCGACACCATGGCGACCCGAAGAGGCGCTAGCATATACCAATCTCGACTACCGCCCCTGGACTAATCACCAAAAGCAGAGCCTTCACATCAAATGTACCTGCTTCACATCAAACGTATTTGGCAGCGCCCTGTATCATACGACTGGCATACTGTGGCTTGACCATCCAGCCAATACAGCATTGACAGGTTTCATGGATGGTCTGGACACAAAAGCGGATGGCACAAAGAGCCTAACGGCCTCAGGATGTCCAACTTCGCACAATAAGCAGGGGTCTGACTAGCAAGGATCCTCACAGCCTTGTGAATGCATTCAACGAGTGTGTTTGTGTGCCGACACATCACGTGCACAAATTGGAGTTTCTTGACCTTCAAAATGGAGGGCGGTTCTTTCAAAATTGACAAGGAATGATCTGGAACTCCGGGAGAGCATCAAGATAGCTTATTAAAGTTCGAGCCCAGGTAATCACGCACCAATTCTGCCATAGCGTCAAGATACAACAAGCAGAACTTCCACAATAACCAACCAAGCCACTTCAGAAGGAACATCCGTTGAGGAGAAAAAGATCAGAGCGAGTAGGGACTCCTCAAGCTTCACTCCATCCCCACAACAACACATTAGATGCGACAAGTATTCAACAATCACCGCATTATAAGGAAGAAAGCAAACAACACACCGACAAAAGAAACACCGTTCATTTGCATCCCTTCAAACTGCCAGTTGAGAGATGACGTGCTAGAAACCAAGTACACGAAACTGTGCCCCACAAATAAGACCCACATCTCACTATCTCTCACGTCCGCACCTGTGCTTCCCCGTCCTCCAGACATTGCCAAGCACGTGCCCTTCCACGTGTCCTCTCTACACATACCTATCAGTTCTCCATCTGCATACCTTACCCATCCATCTTTCTACCTGGACCATACACCTCACCTAATCCCCCACCCAGATGCTCTTTAATCCACCCCATCGGCTTCTTCACCGCCATATCCGCTGTCTACCAAGGTTTCCATCTATTAGTCATCCGTTAGATCCATCTGCCGGCCATAGAACCATTGACCCATACGTGACCACCTACCTACCAGTTACCCCACCCGACCAATCTCTGAGCACCTACCCATTGTCCCACCCGTGTTCAGTCATCGCTGCTGGGGGCGAACATGTTGATTGGCAAGCACTTTCGAACATGGACAACAGGCCACTAGCATCTAGCATGGACGCGTGAAGACAAACGAACTTACAGCACACTCTTCCGCCGAAAAAAGCTGCCCCCTTTACAGCACGCTCTTCCGCCCAAACAAGCTCCCCCCTTTTCACTTTTCCTGCCCTCAACGCGTGCCCTCGACTATTTTCAACCACCCGTAGAGACTACCCGCGTGCACCTACCCACACTCATTTGACCCACCATCTCCTCGGCCACAACTGCTCATCAATACCTACTACAACCCTTCGACCCATACCATCTTCTCGAGCACAACATCACAAAACACGCCCATCTTCGGCTCCTCAGCTACATTACTGATATTCACTCCCCATCAAATTCTAGTGACAGCAACCGCATTTATTCCCTCAATCGCTAGTTTCACGCACCCAGAGGCTGGCATTCCCTCGAGGGAAGGAAAGAGGATTGGATTAGCCCAGAGCTTGGGTCGAGCTCACGGTCAGTGAACCCCCTCCTCCCCCGCCGTGAATCACACTGCCACCATCAGGGAGAACAGACGTGCCAGCAAGACAGAATTACTCAGTGACACACACATACACACTTAACGTGCCGATGAGTCAACACGCTGATAGACCCGGACAGCACGCATGCAGCAGTTGTGGCAGCAAAGCACGGCACTCGTGCAGAGAGAGATCTATGGACACAGAGCAGTTACACCAAATTGTCAGGTGGATCGAGCAATGGATTACCATGCTACACGGGGAAGAAATACAACAGGAAGGCAAACGAAATTACAACGGGAGAAAACGGGTAGAGGACGCAGGTAAGGGAGGACCAGGGGCAGCACAAACGAAAGGTTCAAGACTTTCATGTAAAGCGGCTACAGAAAAGGACGGGCTAAAAGAGAGCGCGAAAGAAAGGCTAACGGAACATGAGCGTGAAGAACTTGCCTGCTACAGGCACACGCGCAATAATTGCATACACACTCACCTACATTCTCACATAAGAAGAACGACTAACAGTGACACGGAATACAATATCAACTAAGCGAACTAATAACGACGGAGGGGGATAGGATAAATCAATCACATGGGATATCATCCACCACCCCGGAAGAACGGCGGATTAGCCCGGGTTCAAATCCCGAAGTAGTCAATTGCCGTTCCAAACGAAAGCGCTAGAATTCACAATATATGGAAAAACTTCGAACATCTGACATGCGAAACCAGGACAACTCAGGACACTAAAAGGTTCATCATCCTTCATCCACTTCAGCTTTCAAGCAGCATACAATGTGCGGAAGGGGCAAAAAACCGTAGAACCACCCACATCATCTTCCACACCATCATTCTCAGACCATCGAGCTGCAGCTACCACGAGAGAGGGGGGCGCGGGGGGGCGGGGGGGAGGACGCGGGGGGAAGAACGTGAGGACTGCCTACGATGTCTACCGCCTTCGTTGGACGAAGACAAAGCGTGCAGCAACCTGATCTTCTCAGTCGCATCATTGCCATCAGAATCATCATCATCGAAATCACTACTGTCATGACTACATCCACAATCATCATCATCACTGATCGCAGTTGTCGTCAACGTCCTCAATTCCGGTTTTCCTCTTCCACCGCGTATCATCAAAACCCGTGCGGTGGCAATCTGTCACTCCGACCCTCAGTGACTACCCAAGTTCTCTCTCCTCGGCGGCAGTTCTTGTTATTCCGGGTGCAAACATGCTTCTCACTCACGGTGGAAAGCTAGATGATGACAATATCCGACTGATTCCATTCGGAATCTCCTCGCTTCCCACATGCATGCAAAGCATTCGTTCCTTGGTTCTCTCGCTTAATGGAAGAGGTTTCTTGAAAGCTCGCGGACAAAAAGGTTGCCCTGCTTCAGGGCTCGGTTTTTCCAGTTCATCACAATTTTACCCTCTCGCGATGTGACTTTCTGAAGACCGATGATGACGATGATGATGATGATTAAGAAATATCTGAAGGCACGACAGGAAATGGAAGGGTGAGTAAACGGGTATCACTGGGGATGCCCCTGCAGACAATTCACAAATGAGCGAGAAAGCGGCGAGAGAGAGAGAGGAAGCTTAAAATTAGTGACGGGAGCGAAAAGTCCATACGGAGGAGGCCAGAGAAGAGACAGAAGGAAAACAGAGAGCATTAAGCAATCAGCAAGGCGAACAAAAACAAAAAGATATACAGAACATAATGACGGACCACGACCGATCGACGAAGAAGACAGAATAGATAGATGTGCTAGGGCAGGGCGGGGCGCGGGGAGGGCAGTCAAGGTTTTCAGCTATCTACGAGGTGAACTGAGTGGGCAAGCGGAAAAGAAAATATAGCCAAAAAATGGAGAATCTCGCCTGCTTCCGTTCGTTCCTTACTCCAATGCAATCATAACTTCGGGTACACAAAAACAAAGACGCTCAATATGGCGATAATGGAAAAAAAGGAGGATTCCTCTTCCTCCCAACCGCCACAATCGGCACACTACCGTATCCACCTCCGCGACGGCTTCCCAGCGCAGCCTTTTCTCCCTCACTGGTGTTCTATCAATCTACCTACCAATCTAATCAGTGTTTTCTTCCGTAGAGAGCGATGAACCTTAGGAACATTGGTGGCCTCGCCCAACTCATCATCCTTCCAACCACAACCAGTATAAACTCCTCTGCTTGCAATGCAATGTCCCCTTTCGCCATTCATTCACCATCATTCCCCCATCCCCCCCTTGCCTTGCTACCACCAAAACGGGACCTCTACCGAAGCACACACGGTCAACCCACATTCGCGTCATCGCGCACTCGACATCCGCACTGAGCTCGGTCCATTGAAGACAACGGCTCGTAAAAAAGGCTGAAGGCGAATGATCAAACAAGATGGGAACAGCCGCCAAGAACAATACCCTTGCATATATCGGATTGAAGTCAACCTGCGCCCATTCCCAACCGCTCGTAAGAGAGAACCCTAGACCCAGCAACATCACTGTCAATCGCCACCGTCGCGAGACTATATCGAAAATTATCATAACCCTAATGTGAAACGGACCTGTTCTCACCCATCTCTCTCTCTGTGCTTCATCTCCACCACAAGAACGACAAAAGGCGATATGGTAATAACGACTCGCCCTGGGGATTCTGCATTCCCGAACGTGGCCTTCTGAAGAAAACCTGACGCAAGGAAGTTCGCCTCCCTCTCCCCTTCACATCACCGAAGACAGAACACACGCTTAGCGAGGAGACGCGACCGGCCCGCTGTGGTATTGTTCCTCGCTTTACCAGAACGCCAATCTCGCCTGCTTTGCCATCCACAGAGCACGCAATGCAAACCACTACCTCCCTCAAGGTCGCAACCTCAGCTCTCTCTCTCTCTCTCTCTCTCTCTCTCTCTCTCTCTCTCTCTCTCTCTCTCTGTGTGTGTGTGTGTGTGTGTGTGTGGCTGATTATAACTAGCGATAGCTCCCACGCTCCTCTCCCACATTCTCCCCCTTCCTCACGAGCCCGAAGCACTGTGTTTCCGAGAATTCCCATTAACCGGGCAAAGACGATGAGGAGTCCATGCTTACACACCGCACGCGTCATGCACGACGTACACGACGTAGAAAGGCTAAAAAATCATCAGGATCATAGAAGAACCAAGAAAACCCAACAGATATCAATCAATGCACAACCACTCGGAAATTCCCATCTATTCCAAAAATGTTCTCCACCATTCCACCTCAGCCGGGCAAACAGACGGAGAAGACCGAGGAATGGACGAACCCCTCTCACCCTCGTTGTCTGCCAACTGCCTAGCCGTGAGGTAAGGAAAACCCGCCACACGTCCCCCATTCACAGAGGTCAATCGCGTGAACGAAGAGGCAGTTAATGAACACAAGAGGCAAAACTCACTAGCCAAAATGATGCTTCACAATCGATTCCCTCATCACTCCCAACACCCTCAGCCTACGTCGGCCCACTAATACCTCTGCCTCGCCTTGCCCCTCTCTACGGTTTTAATCCCCCACAGTCATATCCCCGCATCCTTACTAACTTGAACTCCTTTTCTCTCTCTCTCTCTCTCTCTCTCTCTCTCTCTCTCTCTCTCTCTCTCTCTCTCTCTCTCTCTCTCTCTCACACACACACACACACACACACACAGACACGGAATCACACGCAGAAACAAAACAAACACGGACACTTCGGACAGGCAGGCCAGATCCATCAAACTCCGTGCTCCAGGGTCATCGAGCATACATCAGACACTTTCCATGACTTTGCCGTCCGCCGCCGCATTGGGCACTCAAATGACACATGCCGTGTCACTGTTTTTCTCTCCCTGCGAAGCAAAACGTAGAAGCGAGCATCGCACGGACACATTCTTCCACCAAATACGTGACCCTCAAAGCCGCCAGACAAACAGCACAGAAACGACGACCCAATGCTCCCTGAATTAAGTACGATGGCTTGCAGCTGGCTACTGCTCCCGAACTTCTATACCTAGAAAAGACGCCAACGACACCCACAACCACCCCTACAACCTCCCGCCTGCCTCCCCACACACACCCCCCCGGCAACCACCCCTGAGGATGGAATCGCTTCACGAGAGCACTGCTTCGAGGCCTTGCCTGGCGAGGAAGGTCTCGAGAGGCCCCTCGCCTCCTCCCGACAAAATCGCCGCCAGATCAAGTCCGCTGCTTCGACACATGGTCGTCAGCGCGTTCTCCCCCTTCTCCGTCTTCACCTTCTTGAAAAACGCCGCGGCCACAAGCCTCCTACAATACACATCCTCAATTTTCTGCCACACGGTCTTCAGCGCCGGCAGATCGATAACTCCCGCGAGGACAACCTGGCCCGTGAGATCTCCGAACAGCTGGGGCGCCAAAGGCACGTCTATCATCAACTCGTCAATGTTCTCCGCCACTCTCGCCAATCCCGCCTGAAGGTGAGCGTTCGTCAAGACAAACTGTCTATTCAGGTGGAGGAGCAGCTTCCCTATGTTCTCCATATCACGAGTCTTCTTCTCGAAGCCAAGCAGAAGAGCGCTCTCCACGATCCTCGGATGAAAATCAGGGTTTTTCAGGTCCATCACGCATAGCTCCGCCTCCTTCATGTCCAAGGCAGTCAGATATTCCTGCAATAGGGCGTCAGTTTTCTTCGCCAGCTTCGTCACCTCCGCCTCCGAGGCCCCACCCCCGCCAGCCCCCCTGCTTCCCGCAGAGGCTTGTGCTACAGGAGGAGGTCGATTAGGCTGCGGAGGACCGTAGTCAGGGACCAACGAAGCAGCCGATGGTGGTGGCGGCAGGCCAGAAGAACTGGCTGAAGACGAGAGGGGCACTGGGTGCGCCGAGGACGGCGGAGAAGAAGTCATTCCCATTTTAAACGGCGGAAGTGATCCCCCCGCACTTGATCCCCCGCTTAGAGGAGGCGGCCCAGGTCGAGCTGTCCCCGGTGGCGAAGGACCTCCTGATAGCAACGCGCTGGCCTTGCCCTGGAAAATACCTCCACTGCCCATACCCATTCCCCCTCCGGAAGGGGGCATCCTGCCCAGTCCCATTCCATAGCCTCCCCCGGGCGGTCCATAAGGCGGGAAACCCATGCCCATCTTCCCCCTGTTCTTCACTGTCTCCCAGCCTCCAACATCCATTTCCGGACCTCCAGGCATGCCCGGCGCTCCAGGCATCGGAGCTCCAGGCATCGGCGCCCCCCCAAAGATTCCCCCCGGCATAGGCGCAGCTCCAAAGAGTCCCGTCAACGGCGGTGCCATCCCCCCTCCTCTCGTCGGTCCCGGCGGGAAGAGTGTCTCCGGACCTCTGCTCCCCCCGCCGTTCCTCAGCCCCAACATGTTCCTCATCAGTCCCCTGCCTAATCCCAGCTGCGCTTCCGCTTCCGCATGAATCTCCTCCAATTTCTTCGCCTTCACCTCCTTTCTCCTCGGAACCCATTTATTCGACCTCAAATCTATCAAGTCCATACACATGAACCTTATCCTGGAGCTCAGCTTTTGATTGGACCCTAATTCCCTGAGCCTGCTGAAGTACGATTCGATGTGATGCCGGATCTTCGCCTCGTCGAGCTGTTTCCCCACGGTAGTCAACAACTGGCAGAGAGCCTCCACGTTCTCCTCCACTGGATCCGCCTTGGGCAGGCCCAGAAGCGACTGTACACACGAGTGAACGATTTTCTCAGGAATCATTTTGTGTTTGAAGAGCTCACCTATCAATCGGATGTTCCCAAGGGTGCGGAGCTTCATTTTCCTTTCCTTGTCTATTCTCTCCTGCTCTTGCTCCGGCTTGTTCATGGCCTTCACCTCGTTCCGCAGCGACTCCGCACCTTCGAATTCCGTTTGGCATGTATTCAGCAGGATTCTGCGGAAAGCAATCGGTTTGCCGTCCTCCTGCGGAAACTCGGGGAGGTGCGTGGACAAGTGCACGCACAGCTCTGCATACATGGCACAGAATGTGGGCTCAAGGACCGCCTTCTCGAAAACCAAAGAGATGACTTTTTCCAGGATATCCGCAGAATTGATTCCAACATGGAGCATCTGCTCCACCAGCGTATCGAACTTCTCGGGAGTCAGCTTGTTCAATATACCTTTCACATTCCTATATACCTTCTCGGACTCGTTTACGCTTCTCTGCGGAACCCATGGACTGGCTGCTTTAGCAATGGTCAGCACGTTTTCGTTGAGAGCAGCTGCTGGCGCAGGGGTGGCAGCACCGCCCATGGAGCTTTGCCGCTGTGGGGGAGGAACGTCTCTCTGGTTCCCCGGGCCCCTCTTCCCGCCTCCATCGTCCCGCCCTCCTCTTCCCGCCCCTCCCACCGACGCCGAAATGGGCGGCGCTTTCGCCCTCCAATCTCGGTCGTCTGCTGGAGACGCAGCCGGCTGCTGTGCAAGCTGCCCTGGCCGCAGCTTGCCTGGAATAGGCCTTCCAGGGGACGATTGCTGTGCCTGTTGCTCCTTCCTCCTCCAATCATCGCCGCCTACTCCGAAACCATCGCCGGAAGGGCCATAAGATGACGGCGGATTCGAGAGAATTTCTGATCCGGCCTGAGCCAACTCGTCGGGGAGATCTAGGCATTTCTCCTGAAACTGCAGCAAGAAGTCGCGATTATACTTCACCCTCTCTCCGGTGGGAACCCTTGCTGACGGCAAACTGCTGGCGATGGCGGACTTGCCGCCAACGAGTCCCTGGCGTGAGGCCGAGCCTGGAGTACCGGGACGAAGGCCTCCAGCTCCGACAGCACCGCCAAAAGGCCGCAGAGAGATCGGTCTGAAACCGCCCGCTCCGGGCCGGAGATTCACCTCCTCACCTCCCCCTCCTCCCAGCGACACACCGCCACCAGGCTTCAAGACCGCGCCGGCAGTGCCCTTGGTGCGAGTATCAGCCGAATCTGCGCCGCTCGCTGCCGTCAACACCGTCTCGCCTCCTCCTCCCCCTGCGCCTCCAACAACGATGCCGCTTCCGCCGCCGCTCACGCCCCCACCTGCCGCACCAACCTCGCTCTCCGCTGCTTCCGCTGTCGCTGCAGAAGAAGCGTGTTTGTCCATAGCAGGTACATGCTGTGCTTGAGTCCTACTCACTGCCGCCATAGATAGAAAGACACTTACCTCGCCACGAAGCAGACTACCACCCGAACAATCGCCGCCAGCCAACAATCGCCAGTTTCGCGGAAAACACGCTCCGCTCCACTCCTTCCTTCCTTGATTGCTTACTGCTGTTGCCTGTTTGTCTGCCTGTACAGTCACACACGCTAACGAACAAGGTTGCCACTAGGAAAGACGAGCTTCGCTATCACGACCTTTGAAAGAGCAACGGGGATGGGTGAGACACACCTCGTATCCCCTCGGGTCTGCCACCCGAGTTTACCCTACTTACCGCGCGCGTGCGCGCTTTGTAGAGTGCACTGCCGAAGAAGGGGGCGACAAGCGTCATGCGCCTACCACAAATGTCGCGATGGTGGTGCTGGCTGTGCCGCCCCAGCCTCCCTGCCAGCCCGGCCCAGCCCCGCTAACTCGAAAAACCAGTAAGGCAGCCAGCCAGACATGGACAGACAGGCCCAGGCCAATGAAACGCTATCGACCGCTCCGTCGGCACAGGCGCTACCCTGAGCCCGCTGACTGGGCGCGAGGATGGTTTGGGTTGGGCTAGGGTCGGTTCGGATGCGATGGGATCAGTGGGTCAGGCTCGGTAGGAGTGGCCCGGGCCGTCGGCAGATGCGATAGATAGCTGAAATGTGCTTGGACCACATGGCGTGGGCTTGGTAGCGTTCTCCGCAACAGAGCAGGTCTAAGATGTAAGATTGGCCAGAACAGATCGAGGAATGATGGAACAGACCATAGCCTGTGGGCAAGCCGGTTCCCAAAAATGTTCCGGCCTGCATCAATGTGTACCCCCAGTCTCGAAGGCAAATGACCCTACAGCTGATGCCGGCACTTCTATGCTGTTTGCAGCCTGTCAGGGGTGCGTTTTCTACCCGACTTTGCAGCCTGTTCGCAGCCCGTTAGGGTTGCGTTTTCCCCCCCAAGACATTTTCGTCGTCGTTCGTTATGCCGGTCGTTCATTCGGGCCCATTGGTCGTTCAAAGGCTGGTAAAATGAAGGCACTGGCATTTAGGGGGCGGGGCGCAGTTCAAGCAAATGCAGGACCGGTATTTGACCGTGGCATTTTCCTGGGAACCCGTAGGTGGCCATGGTCTAAAATATTTTGAAACGGCGTGGGGGCCGCAGGTCCTTGAAAAACTCAAATATGAAACGGCGTGGACCCAGGCCTACAGCCTCATGCCCAACCCACCCACTTCGGCCCAATCGGCGTAGTCACTGTTCTGGATGATTTTGTCTGAATCTGAAAGCAGTTCTGAAACAGAGATATTCTCTCTCTCTCTCTCTCTCTCACACACACACACACACACACACACACACACACACACACACACACGGCCTCGACACAGCCAAAACGAAACAAACTGCCGGTTGCGCACCCGTGCCCTCACGGTAAGTCAATCAAGGTTGCGTTTTGTACCCGAGTCAATTTCATCATTATACCGCTCATTCCTATGGGCCCAATCATCGTTGAAAGGGTGGTGAATTGCACGCAGGGGCATTTTAGGCGAGGGGGCCCCAGGTCCGAAAACGCAAAATCCGAAATGGCGCATGCGGGCCATGCCTGGAGCCTCTTTCGCAGTGGAGGCAGGCCGCAGGAAAATTGTCTAACGTGTGCGCGCGGGGAACGCGGTCCTAAGGTAACCAAAGCAATGAGACTAAGAGCGCACGCACACAAGAGAGAGAGAGAGAGAGAGAGAGAGAGAGAGAGAGAGAGAGAGAGAGAGAGAGAGTGAGGAGCTGTCTCTTATACACATCTAGATGTGTATAAGAGACAGCCTTTCTTTGCGTTCGTCGAAAAACATAGCCTAGAGCTTTCTTTTTTGTCTTAGCATACTTAGTCGTTTTTCCCTAGGTCCTTTTTTACGTTCGCCGAAAAATACAACCCAGAGTTTTTTTTTTTTTTT